TGCACGATAACAACTACAGAACTGTTGAATCCCATCTATTTGTATCCCATTCCAGAAACATAAATAATGAATCCCACTGGCTGAACTTTTTCTTTTTTAATTTAAAAAACCCAAACCAACTCTTGCTCATAAAAATTATATCATGTGAATTAAATTTCTTCCTCACACAGAAATCCCTTGGGTCACTAAGCAAAGAGCTCTCAAAGCCAAGTTCATTGTGACAAAGATCATGAGCTTATCGTTGGTGTGGGACTTGGATCCAAATGAAATGCTCCTGTGGGCAACCAGTCGGACAATAATTTGACAGAAGGTATAGGAAAAAGTGTAATAAATTAACAGTTGGGGGTTTTTTCCCCTACCCTTGTCTCCCTCTTAATGAGGGAATGCAACTTTTTCGCCACTGGTTCCTGTGTTTCCCTTAAAAGCAGAGTTAACAGGACAGCATGAACATACCTAACCGACCCCACAGCTGCCATCAGATCCATGCTTCGCGTTAATGAAAACCAAGCGCTCTCAGAGACTTACGGGAAGCCAGTTGCCTAAAACTTCTCACACCAAAAAGAGTTACAGGGTAATTCTGAAACTCAGGCACTGAAATGTTTTGACAGGAGAAGAAAGACACCTTGAAGCAGCTTGCATCTTCACTGCTGTTCACAGGAAAGTACTTAATTTTCTTATCAAGATTATTCCTGAGCTCCAGGCAATGGCAGGAGAACAGCAGACTGTTACAGACTGCTATGATCTTCTACACAACCCATTCCACATTCAGTCCACTTCCCAGTTTGAAACTGCAACCTTTAGTTACTGGGTGGACTCAGTTATGGAGGAAGATGACAAGGAAGAGGAAAAAGTAGGTCTGAGAAGGAGGAAAAATATCACATCCAGCAGGAGACAGGTTACGCACGTTTGTTCTTCTTCCCATAAAAACCTAACGGTGTAGTACTACGTAAGTCCATGTATCCTACAGGTTAGGCACAGGAAGCAAGCGGCCTCGCCGGCAGCAATGAGAGCAGAGTGTTGCTGCTCGATCTGAATCCACCAGCATTCCCAACTGGCAGGCTTCAAAACCAGCAAACTGCCTGATTCCCCCTTGAGAAGGGCAAACTCTGCTGCTCTGACACTAATAAAAAGCATACGGGAAGGTCAAGGGATGCCCGTGTACGCCGGAAAAGCCCTTTCCCTTATCTCAAACGAAGCAGTTCAAAACACTGATATCCTGCCTTAAAAACAATCCGCTGGCTGGTAAGACCCTACACCTGCAGACGTGAGACAAGTGCTTTTGCAGTCGCTCTTCTGCCCTCTGTGGAAAAGCCAGCGATGACTGTCAGTGCCGGGATCAGAAAGTAACATGCCAGTTCAGAGGCACGCTGAAGTCCCGTGCACACGTGTTAACACGTAGATATGCTGCTCCCTAATAATTTTGAGTTAACAAATGTTTCTTAAAAGAAAATGCACTGGGTAACTGAAACCTAATTTGAAAAGGAAATACAATATTCCCATAAATGCATGCATGAAAGCCAAGAAGCTGCATAATAGGCATAGAAAACACAAAAATATGCAATTTACATATATTACACACTAATAATCTCCGTTCTGACATGATATTTAAAGAGCTCTGGCTGAGATGGTGTGCTTGCAGTTTGGTTGCTTTTTCACGAAATACAAACAAGGACGCTCCCGGCTACCAGCTCCCTGAGACATTAATCCCTGTCATTCCTTTTGCAGGTCTGGAAGGCAGAGGTTCTCTCCCCACAGCCAGTTAGCAATGAGTAAACCAGATGAACAAGCAGAATAATCAGTCATCTGGAAGAGCTCTGCAGATCTTGTCTTGATGTTAAAAAGTGCTGAATATTATTAACAAAGTGGGACACTTTCTATTCTCTTATTCTGTTTAACAAGAGCAACAACATTTTATTTCCCAGCCTGCAAGACAGGTATGTTGTGGCACGCTCTGCTTCCCAAAACTGACCAAAACGTACAGTCTGTAATCTCAAGTTCATGGCTAACAGGATAAAAATCAAATTACAGCACCCTAGCCACGTCCCTTTTTTCTCTGCCTTCACTCAGTGCTTGCCTGAAACAACATATTTATTTGTCCACCGTATTCAAGAACAAAGTTAGAAAGGAAACATCCTGCGTGGAAAATAAAGCTTCCCCAGGGGTCTGCGTGTCACACCCTCATTTGGAATAAACTGAAGTCAAAGGGGGAAAGGAGGTTTAAGTCTGGTAAGAATATGATCCTGTAAATCTTAATATTAAATTTTGTTCTGCACGTTCTGAGTTTTTTTTTTTTAAATCACAAAAGATTATTTGGGCTTCAGACAAAGCACCCCCTCCCCCCCCAAGTCACCGTAAATTCAGCTTTACACACGGTAGGTCCAGAGTGCTCGCCTGAGAGGACGCTGATGGGTGGAAACGTTATGTTCATTGCTCACACACCCAGATTTATTGTGGTCAGAACTCCACCAGCTAGTAAAGAGACCTCCTTTCCTGCTCATCTAAATTCCACGCACACAGGCAGGGCAC